ACTAGGGTGTCCGTTATATAGAGATTCTACGTTAAACCGAGGTGTTCGTTATATCAGAGTTTAATTATAAAATGTAAACTTGTTCTGTCCTTCGTTTATCTATTAACTATAGTCACGTTTGGTTCTTGTTTATATATAGGTCAGGTGTTGACGTATGAAGACATTCAAGAAGTAATCAAGTTTTGTGCTCGTGAGAAGTTAGTTTTATTCGCCGATGAAGTTTACCAAGACAACGTATACGCGGAGGGAGCCCAGTTTCACTTGTGCAAAAAAGTTCTCAGGGACCTGGGAGACGAGTATAGAGGATTTCAATTGATCTCTCTTCATTCCAGTGCTAAAGGGTACACAGGCGAGTAAGTTGTGCGTGTTTGTTTTTCCTCTTGTTTGTTTGTTTTTACGGCCACCGTCAGGAAGGAAACAAGAATGATTATTTTAGTGCCAATTTTGCACCCTTGGGCTCTGTTTGCCGGGCTTATTTGATTGTACATACATAACCACAGACAAACCATTATCAACCCTTACAATCCCAATCACAAATTACAAATTTCGTTTTTTAAAATGCTTAGAAACAATTAGTACCACATGAAAGTATAAACAACGAGATTTCAATTGAATGGTCACACCGAAAGCCAAAGGATTTCGTCCACAGACTCTAAAGTTAGTTAAAACTTGAATTCCTTACTCGGCTCCATCATTCATTCTGCGGAAAGTTGAAGGGTTAAGGGGTCACTTGTCAAAGTCCAGGAAGACTTTTCTCTGAATTACTGATGAGAGTCGCAGCTCTCTTTTCCCTAGCAGTCCTTATCAATTTTTTTGTATTTCCTTCATCGCTATTAAATGCTCACTTTGCTACGAGGTATTTTGCATGTTCATTAAAAACATTACTTTTGTCTTTGGCTTGACATTTCCTCTTTTTTGGCGCAAGAAAAGGCAGGAAACACTTTGTGGATATTATCGTCTTCAGGTGGATTCTTCATCTGTACTTAACGGTTAACGGTCGGTAATCTCCAGCCCAGATCTCTTGTAGACGAAGTCGAAGAGATCAACAAGAGGTCTGGTTACGAGACTAGTCAGCTATTGCCAAAGGTGACTGTCGGACACAAGTTTGGTTGTAATCATGGATAAAAAAAATTGTGACCAGTTGTGCAACTTTCTGGACTTGCTTATCCCGGGAAATGGCCCTTGTGCGAGATTACGCGTTAAATGAGCTAATTTCACCTCCAAGCCTTGTTTGTAAGAAAAATTCTTCGCATTTGCACTCTTTGCGCGTGCGTTTTCTTTTTAACTGTACTGACTTGGGAAAAACTTGATGCAAAACTTGTACAAAATCGCCTTGCTGGGGAGTTAGGGAGGGGCGCTCTGAGACAAGACAAACAAAGAGCTCACATCATTTATAATTGTAATTTCCTACGTTTTGCAGGGCTGTCATTAAGAGGCGGGGGCCGGGGATTTTCCCCGGTTGTCCTGAACGTGGCCCCCGGCTACTTTCTTAGGAAAATAGAAGAAAAATAGGACCAAAAGAAATCCCTAGCTGTTATATTCCCTGCCTACTTGTCGCATTTACCCAGCAACTTGAAATCTTAGTGAAATCCCTGGTTTGTCTTCTCCCAAATGCGTGTCTTTGGTTGTTTACCGTTTACACGGACATACCATTCGGTTCACGGTTTGGGCAAGTGGTAAGCAAAATTCAGTGCTAGTAGATGTCGTTCCGGAATCGCGTTTACGATTTGTACAAATCAGTTTCATTTTAATACTGAAAAACGGCCGCGGAAACCTTAAACTAGTATCAAGGGTGGCTTTGAAGAAAAGAAACACCAACCGGAAAAACAGAAAAACCTTTTCAGACATTCCAGTCGATCCGTTGCTCCTGCAAAGTTTCCACTGAAACGTCCCGAAAAGTTGTCAGGTGTTCTGATTACCCGTTCTTTCCAACTGTATTTTTGTAAACAGTAAACAACCTTGCTCTCCATCATGGTGGTTTCGTACCATGTCAAGGCAAGCTGCAATGGGTCAATAGTTCATCTACCCAGACTACTCGACTTACTTCATTGCTGTTCCTTGCAGATGTGGGCTCAGAGGTGGATATATAGAGCTCGTAGGATTCAATGATCAACTCAGGTCTCGAGTTAAAACTTACCTGAGTGCAAGAAGTTGCCCTTCCACGATAGGACAGGTACAAATAATGTATCACATGAAGTGAAATTGGGGCAGAGGTCCCTAATGAAAGGGCTGCCTCAAACCCTAGTCCACAATTTCCAGTTTGAATACTTGGAAGGACCTCAGTTACCTTTTCGTTAGAGCGAAAGTATCTTTGTGCTTCTACGATGATTTATTAACATCTCCCAAGTCCTAGACAAGCCTGGCTGCTTGTGTTTTTCTTTTCGTTATATTGGCTTTGTGTTGTTTGTTCCTGTTGTTGTTTTGTTTTGTCTTATGGTAGTCAGCAGGGTATTAGGCTGTTAAACAAAAAATTGCAGTAGTTCAGATGTAACTTCATCATAATTAGGCGTCTCTCGCACTATGCGCAAAGAACGGCGGGATGGTGAAAGATGGCTTTGCCCTCCTTTCTTACACCTCCCATAAAGCTTCGCGCTTCTCTTATTTCCAGTCATTCGCCTTATGTGTCGCACAGTCTCGAAGCGCCTGCAGAGGAAGCTGTTAGTGCTTTATTGTAAGGTACTCAGGCTGTATTCAATACGCTTAGTTTCTAACCCAAGGTAATCATGGGACTCACTTGCAATCCTCCCAAGCCTGGTGATGAATCATATGAAAAGTTTTCAAAGGTATGTTCCTTAACTGTAACTTAACCCAGAGAAACTCACGCACCTCGCGTGATCATAATCAGCGCTACTTTATCGCTCTTGTAATTTTTTAAAGGGGCTTTGTCACGGCTGACTAGTTTATATGGTTGATAATGGCAATAACGAGTCATTATTCCTGCCTCGTACCCAGACGTTCATCACCAGTCACTCGTTTCGCGTACGCCTCTGCCATGCGAAAAACGAAGCGCCTGAGGAGGAGGCTGTCATTATTCGCTATGGAACTTGAGAACTTAGTACTTAGTTGTGAATGACAAAATTAATTGCGTTGTATTATTCTTTTTTTCAGCTTGTCTCTGTAGCTCAGGCTGTAACTCGTTTCAGGTTTTAACTAAAATGTAACAATTTGAACCATAGCTTTTCACGATACAGATAAAAGCAGTGAATAATACAATACTTAGTCAGGTGACGCCTCTAATGCCTGCCATGAGATAACCGATTTAACAAATAAAGCTTGTTCCTCTTACCTTGGGTACCAGAGGTTTTTCTCTCGGGTGGCCGGATCTTTCGGCCCGCGGGCCGAAGCCACGAGTGGCGATAAAGATTTGAAAAAGCGGAAGCTGTGTATGAAAAGTCTCTGGCACGCAGGATAGGTTTCCATTGATTCTTTTGCCCAAACAAAACGTCAGATTCGAGTCTTACGCAAGTAAAGTTTGCAAGTACTGAAGTCGCTAAGGGACTAGGTCGGGTAAACAAAAATTTCTGTTTTCTCCTGGAACATTCGGCAATCTTCTTATAAATGTATAGAAAATGATCTTTAATTGCGACGCACTTGGGAAATCTATAGAGGTGATTACCTTCATTATTCCCATATCTTGCCTAGACGGTATTATTTTGTGTTTTATCTGTATTACAGGAAGTAACATCCATCAAGGAGTCTTACAGGAAGAAAGCAAAGATGACAACGGAGGTTCTTAACTCAATGGAAAATGTTAAGTGTAACGAGGTGGCAGGTGCAATGTATGCGTTTCCCAGGATAACACTTCCAAAGAAAGCTATCGAGGCAGCCAAGGTATCATGTCCTGTTTCCGGTCTTGATTTCTAGAGCCGCACTGCAGAATACTGTCAGTAATGGATATCCTAGGTGTACGGTAATCCGAATTCCGGAACCCGGGAATTTCTTTCTTGTAGACTGATCCGGAATCAGTTCTGGTGTTTGAAATTCGGAATTCAGACCCGGTTGTTCAAAAGATGAATAGCGTTATCCACCGGATAAATCACCATCCAGTGGATATATAAGTATCAGGGAAACCAATTGCACTATCCACTAGATAGAGATTTATCCCGTGAGTAGCGTTATCTATCTTTTTAACAGCTGAGGCCTGTTCTATATTTGAAGTCAGGAATCTCGCTAACGATTGGAATCTGGAATCCACGTTTCATGGACAAGGAATACTGAATCCAGTACCTGCCATCCGGGATCTACAGCATAAAATCCGGAATCCACAACGTGCGATCCAGAAGCCAAGATTCTCGTTGATGCACCTAATATTAGAGGAATGCCAACCCGTTTCCCGCCGTGTCAGTTTTCATAAAAGGCGTTCTTCGGTTAGAAAAAGTGAAAAGGACGCTATAGGCTCCCATCTTATTCAGGCTGCTGATAATGTCCCGCGAAGATTAAAATTTCACTTTCTCAACTTTCCATATTGCATTGCTAACTTCCATATGTCGTATCGATCTAGTAACAGCTCCCAGTAAAGGCTTCATCGAGGGATTCTTGGAAATACAGATATTCCCCTTACAAGGAAAGTATGTATGTGGTCTGTTTGGTGAGCGAAGTGAAAGGATTTTGGGTTGGACAAAAGTAATGTGTAGATATTTTTTGAGTTTACTGAGTTGTTTATATTGTCATTGTTATTTAGGCCAAGGAAATGCCACCAGACGAGTTTTACTGTTGGCAGGCGCTGGAGAAAACTGGAATTTACATGATTCCTGGCCACGTTTTTGATATGAAAGGCAGCGGTAACGACTTTTACTACAGGTAAGATTTGAATTAACAAGGGCCATCAACTTCAGGTTGGAATTTTGATGATTTTAAAAACCTCTCTGTGATATCATTTTCGCCCTTATGTCACAAGGTTTTCACAGGCTTGTCTAATATATTTAGATTGATTAGATTGACTGCACCTTTAAATTTGAAGAGACCCCTCTTTTCCCCCCAACCCCGAAAAAATCTGCCTTTGTACCACAGGAACACCAAATTAGGATCCGTTCTGACGAACGCAATAAGGGTATACACAGATCGGCCCATAGCCGGGGTGATGGGGGCTTAGTGGAGGGCCTGCAACTGGGATAAAGTTGGTGTTTACAAATAGAGGGGCTTACAACCGGGATTATACGGTATGGACCAGAGCTTAAACTTACGTGGGAAAAGGCGTCCTAAAAGCGACTTGTCTGTAAAAGCGACGTTCTGTCACCGTGTGAAAGTCTGATGAAATTGGACCAAGTTTTATCTCCACATTATGGGTTAAAATAATCCCAGACGTTTTGATTTTTCAGTCCCACTATCCATACGAAGGAAATAACTTAAAACGGTTTCATGTTTTAATCTTTCTTGGTAGGATCACTATTCTTCCTTCTGAAGAGACGTTTGCTCCAATGTTTGAGCGACTAAGAACCTTTCACCAAGAATTCATGGTGCAGTTTAAGGACACGAACTGACAAGATGGATTTACTGGATTTAGTTTCCAGTGATGACAATATTCAATCCAGACTATTTGATATGTCTCCATCCTCATTTATCTGGAGAAAGTTTTCTGATGTAAAATATATGTTTGAAGAAGCAAAACTCTTGTTTACAAATTTCTATTTCTCGAGAAAGGCTAAATAGTTTTGATGATTCTTCATTCATCTTTGATTTTCGGAAGTTTTTCAATTGACTTAATTCTCTTCCCAGATTTGGCTATATATTATCTCTCAAAAAAAGACCCGGAAATGTTCACTAATAGTGGCAGAAAGAGTCATGAATGTATCTGGCAAGCTGTACGCAAATGTCCTTAACCACACAACGAGGAAAAACAAGATTCTTATAATCCTCTCCTAAAATTGGCGTGAAAAAAGAAGACACTTGTAACAATCTTCTGACTTTTCCCATCTTTAGGACACTGAAGTGTGCTTTTCCTATTGCAGCGTTTTCCCGGCCCATTCCTTGTGATATTCCAGACACAGATAAGAACGTAAAGAAATCCAGTTTATATAAATAGCAACTTTATTGAAGTCTCTTTTAGAAGTACCTTCAAAACAAGGCGCATTATTAAAGTAGATATCGCGTTGTGCAATAACAAATTAAGAACTAAACAACTTCTGCGCTTAATGTACATAATGGATATATTTCATGTTTTGCGACCACAATCATAATGACTAACTCTAAACAAGGAAATGTAAATGATATCTTTTCATTTTGGAAGCATACTAAACGTAACGAAAAGATAAACGAGACTACTAACCGGCTCTATATTTAGTTGTAGTACGTATTGGACGAAATACCGTGGTTCAACTCATCAATGGTTTAGATTTTGTTTTCCTTTGTGTTGAGGTATGGTTATGTACGATTGAGAATCAGAGTTTAAAACAAAGGAAAAAAGCATTTGAACCAAGGAAAAAATTGCACCACAACATTTATTTGCGACCTTTTTATCGAACTTTAAAGGCCGCAATAATAGTATATAATCAACTACTGTTTTTTTTTTATGAAGATGACGAAAACATTAGTTACGTATTAGTTGGCTTCCAAGTGTTAAACAAATTAAAGTACATTAAAGCGCACGAAGAGGAATATCTCGGGCATTTTGTCTTCGTTGACGTTTAAATAACAGCAGGAGAGCTTTCCTGAACTCTGGCATTCTGATTGTGTAAACGATTGGATTAACAAGCGAGTTCATAAAATATAGAATGATTAAAGAAAAATCGAAACGTGCTAATTCCTGGACAGAAAGGAATTTCATAATACTAGATTGCCAAAAAAGAAAAAGAAAAACCGCATATGGTAGCCACAGCAGTAAGGATAGGATAGTCATTATGAATAATGTTACGGTCAGTTTCCTTTGTCTGTTGGCTGCACCATGGTGCTGGGGATGCGCTCCACACAAAAATTTAACAACAATAGAAGAGTAAGAAACACAGATAACAAATAGACACAAACAATGGAATGATTCTAATAAGTAAAGATGATGTGACCATTCTTCCCCATAGTGTCGAAGTATTAAACAGGCAGTTGATACCATTGCAGCTAAAACCCAGACACCAGCAATTGTTACCCCGTAGACCCACTTTTTGATGAGGCGATGCCTGAAGGGACGAATTGTTGCATGCATCCGATCCAATGAAATCACTGCAATGGTTGTTAGAGAGGTCAGAGGAAACCAGACGAAGAGAAAGTCAGTTATCACTTCCAGTTCCAGGCTTAAGTTCTTTTCCATAATGTCGCAAATTGGGCATGAGAGAAGTCCAAATAAATGAAAGTGAGAAAATCCTCCGACAAACATATCAGCTACTGTCAGGTTTATAACTAGGTACATGGCACGAGTTCGAAGACTGCGGTTTTTTATAAAAAGAATGATTGATATAAGGTTCACTGTTACTATAGCAGCAGCCACGGTAACGAATACAGCAAACCAGGTGATGCACTCGGATGAAGATAATTGCATGACTTTTTTCTTCTTTTACTCCTTTTCGCTTCACACTTTTGCCCGTTCTCTTTTGTTGCTCGTCTACCTTTAGAAAGAATTTGAATTGAATAAAGTTTGATTACTTAGAAAAGAAAAGTAGGAGGTGAACAAACAAGGTTGACGACTGTTTTTCAAAGATCAGTAATGAAGATACATGAATAATAATTCGAC